AAAGTCAAAGAGCTTTGGGAAGTTGTTCCACATGGTCTTTGGCTACATTAGGCCTTCCATCTCCTCACACTGGTCCGACGGGATAGAAGGGAGCAGCTGATAAAGCGAACTTAACTTCTCACAGGGACTAACAATTCTTGAAATGATACATCAGCTGTGATAAGGTTCACTAAGAAGACAGACATTCTAAGAGCTACACAGGATGCCACTCCACTACCCAAAATACACATTCCACACTGTACACATCCTCTCAGTCTTCACCTTCAACGGAAGTTTTCTTTAAAAAACATTAAAACACTACAGTAATAATCTTGTCATAATTTGACCTATTTGTGGAAAAAAGCCTTTTACCTCCCTTGCAGAAGGAATGGCATGGGATGTTATCAGAGAGAAATTGAGCAGGAACACTCCGTATCTCATGCATACCTTCATTTTCCTGTCAGATGTTCTTGGTGATAACAGACCACTGGGTATGCATGTGCTGGAAGAGGGGGCCAGGAATGCAGCCACATTTGTCAAACTGTCAAAGATAAACACTTATACCTCAGAGGCCGGGGGATGGCTTGTCACAGCAGCCGCTAAGAGACGACTTTCCCATTTAATCTACTTCTTTTCATCGTCAGTTAGAGTGACCCCTTCACACAGATGTTGCTCATATAAAAGACAGCACTTAAATAGCTGCCTAATGGTGGGTTTGATGTTGAAAGAGTCAATTATAACTTTTCAGTTTTCTTAGACCCACACTTAAGCACACATTCAAGAAACGTTCTAAATGGTTTCATAACACCATGTGAGAGACTTGCCTTGTTGCCTAAAAAGCAGAGTACATGGTCTGCGCCCATGCTTCTGATATCTATGCTTTGGATTTGTCTTCCTACTTGAAAATATTACTGCTTTTTATTCCTATGCAAGTGATTTATACTTTAGACATATATGAGATTTCTGAAAATCATTTACAATAATTAGCCAACAAGTAGGCAAGAGAAATGTTAGCAATCTGAAAATTGCTTATACATCTGCAGAAATTCAGAAGTGGCCAACAAATGTTTGAAAGATTGTTGCATTTATTGGCTTCAATTAGAAAGGTAGAAAGTTATTGCTGTACAATACCACTGGCCTGTCTCCCCCAATCTACAGGTCCCTGAGTGCCATATTCCAGCCTCTCTACTTAGATTGGTCCAGTATATCTTTTCCCAGAGTCTAGCCATGCGATTCAGCCTAATCCTCTCACTCACACACATGCTCATAACCCCCCAAGATTTATCCTGGGTCCCATATCCAGTGTTTTCATGTCATCTGGCCACCCTTGCTTGTACTGGCACCAACCTGCAGACTTCAGCCAAGACATGCCCTGCCCACCGCTGGACCCCTCATGTGCCACATGCAACCTCTCCACACAGCTAAGATCTGTATCTTTTTTCTTTTTATTTCTTCTTTGAGCACAAACTACTAACAAATCACAACCTACTCCTCTTAAGTGACTAAAAACAGTCAACACTGCCTCTCAGGGCTCTCGCATTTATATGCCCCTGAAAAGTTTCAAGAATTCCAACATCTTAATCCTGAACAGCACTCTAGAGTCTAGCCTAGCGTAGGGAGTGCAACTGATCTTTCTCTCCATGCAGCACCCTCACCCCTTGGGTATACTCCCACACTCCAGGATTTGAGAAGGACACGTACCCTACATGCCAGCCCAGTTCCCTGTGTTTAGCTGACTTCATTCCATTTAAGTACTATCCAACATTTAGGCCTAACCCAGCCTGTAGATCCTGTGTGCTGTCCTATCTGCCCTGTCTGATTGAGACACAGAACTGACAAAAGAAGACCACATGCCCAGAAAGCATTAAAACCTCCCCCGATGGGAGGAGCAGCCTTGCCAGCCCACAGAGGAGAACACTGTAGCCAGTTCTGATGAGATCTGATAAGCTAGGGTCAGATGGAAGGAGAGGAGGACCTTCCCTACCAGTGGACTTAGAGAGGGGCAGGGAGGAGTGAGGTAGGGGGGGTGGGACTGGGAGGGAATGAGAGGGGGCTATGGCTGGGATACAAAGTAAATAAACTGTAATGAATATAAACAAATAAAAATTATAAAAATGCAAACAATATGAAAGTTTGAGGCACTATCTTCCACAATCAGCCCTACAGAACTTTTATGCAGTAAGAATTACCTTAATAAATCCTGTGACATAAAGTTTAAAAGAACAAATCATAAATTTTCTTAAATAATTAAAGGAATTGAAAGCAGAGACAAAGCTACAGTTCAGTGAACTTAAAGAGAATGAATTTAAAAAGAAGAAATGCCTGAGTGATGCCCAAGAGAACACAAACATACGCCTGATGGAAATGATGAAGAAAATCCAGTATTTGAAAATGGAATTCAATAAAATGATAAAAACATGATAGAAACATAAAAAGAACTCAAGTAGGAACAAAGATGGAATTGAATAACTCAATAAACCAACTAGCCAACTCAAGGAAAAGCCTTAAAAACAGAAAGAATTAAGGAGATGGGAGACTATCAGGACTCAGTGATAAAGTAGGTCTACATGAAGTAAAGAAAGAATGTGAAAATTAGAAGGAAAACCACAGGAAAGAAACAAATGTGAGGGGAAAGTCCATACCTTCAAATTATAAAATAGATCAGAAAGAAGAATTTCCAGGTCAATGACATAGATCAGATCTTCAACATAATCATAGATGAAAAGTCTGCTAAACTAACATTCATACAGCTACAAGAATCATACAGAACACTAAATAGATAAGACCAAAAGAGAAACTCCCCATGGTATACTATAGTTGAAAGCACTAACTAGGAAAAATAGAGAACGGGTGATGAAAGAGGCAAGAGAAAAAATACAAGTTGCATATAAAGGAAAACCCATCAGAGAAATGGCTGATTTCTCAATGGAAACTTTGAAACCCAGAACAGCCTAAAGCAATGTATTCTATGCCTAAAAGAGCAAAATTGGCAATTTAGAGCAATGCACTCCTCCAAACATTTGCAATACAGTCCAAACTTAAAGAAAATACAAGCTGAAGAGATGAGTAACCAACAAAGAAATTGTAAGAAAAAAAGCTATCAATACTGAAACATAGTACCATCGACAACACAAAAAAGCACCAAAACAAACAATACAATTGCAACTAACACATACCTTTCAATAATTACTTTATTACCAGCATCAAATCTCCAAGTTAATGAGATAGAAAAAAAGAAAAATACAAAGTATAAATGAATCTAAGAGCTTGTTCTTTGAGAAGATAAACAAGACAGACAGACTCTTGACACAACTAACAAAAGGAAACGGAGAGGACCCAAATGAACAGAATCAGAAACTAACAGGGAAGCATTATGAGAGACACCAAAGATGTTCAGTCTATCACAAGGGATTTGAACATTTATAGACTTAAGAAACCAGTGTCCATGTGAGCTTGTGGTGTGCCAAACCCCACTGACACTAAAAGGTGAGTGTAACTGTATTTTCTTTAAGCAGAGCACCTGTGTCCATTTCGATTTCCATGACCAAATTCTTGAACTCAATGTGTCTCACATTTTGTGACCTATTCTAAAATTACATTTCCTCTCAGTTGACCTTCATTTTGCAAGTTTTCTGGTTATTTTCTTCTGAGAACTTGTGTGGTAGGACACCAGCCTCTGGGTAATGTGCCAGAACCAGAATGAAGCTGTAGTGACTGTATAAGCGAATGAGACAGGTGCATAGAAAGAAACAAAAGAGGAAAATCATGTGGCTCAGAAGAAGAGAAAGGTACAGAATATACAGTGACCTGGGATGCCAGATCCTACTTGTAAAAGGTGCATTCTTTGAACATCACAACAAAACAATTCTCATCTGAAACAGATGTTCATATAATTTTCTCAGGTTATGTGGTGGGAATGGGAGATGAATACTAGAGACGGCTTTACCTCAAAGAGAAGAAAACCCGGTTGTACGGATTGGTTTGCCAGGCCCCTAATGTCCCTTTCTCCAGCTCTCCTGCGCTCATACTACAAAGTGCAGGTTAGGGGGGACCCTGGCTTGTGGCCAGGGAAGGGAAGGCAGAAAGACAAGTCATTTCAGGGTGGACAGGAGGGGCGCTTCGCGGGCTACAGGACTTTCATTTATTTATTCTTCATTTAAAAGTTGCTGTATTAGTGATGCTGGTACAATCAAGCTAGGTTAGAAGAAAACCACAAAATAATATTTAATATTTACATTATTTATTTGGGAATAATGAACTTAACCTCCATTATTTAAACCACAGAAACAAGTAAATGTGTAACAAAGTGAAGAGGCAACATACAAAACTGGAAAAAATATTATATTAGAAAATAACAATTTCTAAATATAAATTGTAAACAGTCTTAGAAAACATTTTCAGAAAGACTAACATGGCAACAAAGCTGTTCATTGATTTGATACTGTCGAAATGATTTTCCTTGTGTGCCTTCATTCATCAAGTTTATCAAATAACTGATTGCTGTTTAGTTTTTTGTCAACTTGACAGGATTAAGGGCCATCTTGGAAGAGGGAACCTCACCTGAGAAAATGCTTCCATCAGATTGGCCAATAGACAAGTTGTGTGCATTTTCTTGATTAATAATTGTTGTGGCCGGGACCCAGCCCACTGGAGGTGGTGCTGCCCGGGTCTTGGAAGATTTAAGAAAATACACTGAATGAGACATGAGCAGCGAGTCAATAAGCAGCATTTCCCCATGGTCTCTGCTTCCGTTCCTGCCGACTGTGACTTGAATATGTGAGCCAAATAAACCCGTTCCTACCCAAATTGCTTTTGGTGAAGGTATTTATCACAGCAATGGAAAACACAGTAGTACTACTAGACACTTAACTAGTTCCTGAATACAAGGTAGAATAAAACATTGGCTCTCACCTCTTGAAAGATCATGGAAACTCTAGAGCTTGGAGCCTATGAATTTCTTTGGGTAAAATAAAAGTCAAAGATCCATGCTGAATAATTTTTAAGAATGTATCGTGCTGTACCTGTAGGCAAGCTGGGGCGCGTCCCTGGGGCTTGTTGACATCCACAGCTACCAGCTGCCAACCGCCAGTAGCGTCTTCATGGAACATCTTTAAGACAAAGAGATGAGTCAGAGATATTAAGCATGGAACATGGAGAGCTCCAGTTCTGACTGCAGCTTTCTATGTGTTTAAACATTACTGAAAATCTATCTTCTTAATGATATATATTTGGATCATGAATCATTTCAGTTATACTCATTTTAATACTGAAAACAAGTGAATAATAAATCTCTCATGAGCCATGATAATAGCTTTCATTTATTGAACAAACACTGTTATATGCCATGTAATTTCTGCCTTACATAGATTTTGCGCATGTAGCCTTATAGATATCCTTTATACAAAAAATACGTTAGTATTTTAGCTGGTTATATTAATCATCAGTTTTTATCCAAGAAATACATGTAGAATTCTTAAGCATTATGTCTTGTCTGCTTAGTATATGTAAAAAGATTTTTAAACTAGTTGGTATTTTTCATTCAGTGAACTAGACAACACTCTCATGTCAAATAGTATCATTAGTTTATCATCAATACAGGGAATGAGGCTGGCAGCTTCTCAATGGTGGGGACTGAGAGGGGGCTTAGCTGACTTTATGCACTTGTTTTAACTAGGTCACAATTAATTTGCTCAACAGAAAGTTAATTCATGTGTTTACAAAGGGAACATATAATTTATATTGCTCTGGAAGTCTTAGAAGAGATAAAATTCAAGATGCTATTGGCCACTTGAAACCTGATAACCTTGTGGCCCATAAGTTCCCACCCATCAACATTATATCCAGCTGGAAGACACTTCCCACTTACCTTGTTCCCCAGGAGTGTGTGTGTGCGTGTGCGTGTGCATGTGTGTGCGTGTGTGTGTGTGTGTGTGTGTGTGTGTGTGTGTGTGTTGCGTTTATGGTTTTAATAGCATAAAGTATAAATGAAGTTTTTCTAAATAAAGCCTTTAATCATAATAATTTACTGTTTTGTTTCTGCCCAGTCTCTTTTTATATACATAAACATCTCATTGCTCCCATTACTTGTGATTTATGTTGGTCCTACCTCCTGTTGTAAAGGTAATCATTAATGGAAATCTGAGTGACATAGTACATAGGCTCTATAATGCTTTCAAATAGCCAGAGAGATTATAAATCATTTTCAGAAGAAAAATTTTCTCTGTCATGATTTAGACAATGGGAAATAAGTACGTCTCCTCACAGGCCATGTAATATATACTTAATATTAAAATATATATTTAATACTATATTTAAACAATAGGTGCTCATTTGCAAAGATTCTTTGACCAAAGATATGATTACAAATAGTGAGTCCCAACTGTGTACTTACAGAAGTTAATTTCTCCTTAGAAAAAAAAACTTAGAAGTTATTCTTGGTGGCAGAACCAATAACCTCCTACATGAATGGGCTCATTATGAGAATATAGACAATATCGGGAAAAACAAGCTCATTAAAGTGGGCTTTAAAGACCCTGCCATGATTCTGGAATTTTTTAAGGGCAAATGTCAAAGCCTATTCTGTCAGTCACTGGCTAAGAACTCTCTGTGATCCTTCCTATACTGTCTTGTCAGGCACAAAGGACCCCTGGGGCTAATATTTCCTTTCATTGGTGGAAAACTAATTTTCTCTGTTAAATTATTTTTCCAGCAGACCAAAATAAAATGGATCAATTTAATTGTCAGCAAAATAGTTCTCTGAAGAATAGTTCCCTTGTGTATGAAATAAATTTACAGAAATGCAAACAAGCCCCGCTTTCATTAGCTCTCACATCATACAATATTTAGATTGGTTGATATGATTTTTGTAGATCCTTGAGGCTGGAACAGGGCTGGCTAGCAGATACGAGAATCCCAAGGACTAAGATCTCTGGGGCAATGATGGGTACGACAGCACTCATTCTTTGTCTGTCTTCCAGTATCTGGGCATTTTTTGAGGTCACTAAGCCTCCAACAGAAGGACAAGCTTCTATCCTCTCCTGCAGCTCATATTGACCATAGCTCACAGGATGTAAGCACAGCTTTCTTGTTCTTCCTGTGTTTCTTTTCTGCTGGCCTGTATACATATCTGAGAGTTACAGCTACAGGAGGTATTGTAGTCTGCTATGAAACTGTGGGAAGGGAAACTGTCAAGTAGAACAGAAAGGTGATAGTGGGTGGGCAAGCCCAACCCAACTGATCTCCTTCAACTTTATCCATAAAGGACATAAATCTACATTATCTAAGCTACATATATATTGTGCATTTGGCATACACAGTGGAATATACACTGTTGGTTTCCATGTTTTAAGCATGTGACTTTCTTATCTAGTTATATTTCTAAAATTTTTATTACTAAGCACCTAGAGATGTGTATGAGATAATGAAAAAGAATTAACCAATATCCAAAGAGATAACCACTAGTGACATTTTTTTCTCCCCTCCCTATCCCACCCTCTCTCCCCTTTCTGCATGCATGCCCCTCCCCAAGTCCACTGATAGGGGAGGTCCTCCTCTCCTTTCTGATCTTAGTCTATCAGTTCTCATCAAAAGTGGCTGCATTGTCCTCTTCTGTGGCCTGGTAAGGCTGCTCCCCCCTCAGGGGGAGGTGATGAAAGAGCAGGCCAATCAGATTATGTCAGAGGCAGTCCCTCTTCCCATTACTATGTAACCCACTTGGACACTGACCTGCCATGGGCTACATCTGTGCAGGGGTTCTAGGTTATCTCCATGAATAGTCCTTGGTTGGAGTATGAGTCTCTGGGAAATTCCCTGTGTTCAAATTTTCTTGTTCTGTTGCTCTCCTTGTGGAGTCCCTGTCCTCTCCAGCTCTTACTATTTCCCACTTCTTACATAAAATTCCATTCACTCTGCCCGACAGTTGGCCATCAGGCTCAGCATCTGCTTTGATAGTCTGCAGGGCAGAGGCTTTCAGAGGCCTTCTGTGGTAGGTTCCTAGTTTGTTTCTTGTTTTCTTCTTCTGGCTTTCAGAGGCCCTTTGTAGCAGATTCCAAGATTGTTTCCTGTTTTCTTCTTCTTCTGGTGTCCATCCTCTTTGCCTTTCAGGATGGGGATTGAGTGTTTTAGTTAGGGTCCTCTCTCTTGATTAGTTTCTTTAGATGCACAGATTTTAGTGGGTTTGTCCTATGTTGTATGTCTATATGAGTGAGTATATACCGTGTGTGTCTTTTTGCTTCTGGGACAACTCACTCAGGATGATCCTTTCCAGGTCCCACCATTTACCTGCAAATTTCATGATTTCCTTATTTTTCATTGCTGAGTAATATTCCATTGTATAGATGTACCACAATTTCTGCATCCATTCTTCAGTTAAGGGGCATCTAGGCTGTTTCCAGCTTCTGGCTATTACAAATAAAGCTGCTACAAACATGGTTGAGCAAATGTCCTTTTTGTGTACTTGAGCCTCTTTTGGATATATGCCTAGGAGTGGTATGGCTGGATCTTGAGGAAGTGCTATTCCTAGTTGTCTGAGAAAGTGCCAGATTGCTTTCCAGAGTGGTTGTACAAGTTTACATTCCCACCAGCAGTGAAGAAGGGTTTCCCTTTCTCCACAACCACTCCAGCATGTGTTGTCACTTGAGTTTTTGATCTTGGCCATTCTGATGGGTGAAGGGGAAATCTCAGGGTTGTTTCGATTTGCATTTCCCTAATGGCTAATGAGGTTGAGCATTTCTTTAAGTGCTTCTCTGCCATTCGGTATCCTCTATTGAGAATTCTCTGTTTAGCTCTGTTCCCCATTTTTTAAGTGGATTACTTGGTTTGTTGCTTTTCAGCTTCTTTAGTTCTTTATATATACTGGATATGAGTCCTCTGTCAGATAAAGGGTTGGTGAATATTCTTTCCCAATCTGTAGGCAGTCACTTTGTTTTGATGATGGTGTCCTTTGCTTTACAGAAGCTTTTCAGTTTCATGCTGTCCCATTTGTTGATTGTTGCTCTTAGAGCCTGTGCTGTTGGTGTTCTGTTCAGGAAGTTTTCTCCTGTACCAATGAGTTTTAGGGTATTCCCCACTTTTTTTCTAGCCAATTTAATGTGTCTGGTTTTATGTTGAGGTCTTTGGTCCACTTGGACTTCAGTTTTGTGCAGAATGATAAGTGTGGATCTATGTGCATTTTTCTACATGTAGACATCTAGTTGGACCAGCACCATTTGTTGAAGATGCTATCTTTTTTCCATTGTATGGTTTTGGCATCTTTGTCAAAGATCAGGTGTCCATAAGTGTGTGGGTTTATTTCTGGGTCCTCTGTTCGGTTCCATTGATCCACCATTCTGTTTCTATGCCAGTACCATGCAGTTTTTAAAACTGTTGGTCTATAGTACAACTTAAGATCAGGGATGGAGATACCTCCAGAAGAACTTTTATTGTAGAGGATTGTTTTAGCAATTCTGGGTTTCTTGTTATTCCATATGAAGTTGAGAATTTTTCTTTCCAGGTCTTTAAAGAATTGTGTTGGTAATTTGATGGGAATTGCATTGAATCTGTAGATTGCTTTTGGTAAGATGGCCATTTTTACTATGTTAATCCTGCCAAGCCATGAGCATGGGAGATCTTTCCATCTTCTCATATCTTCTTCTAATTCTTTCTTCAGAGACTTGAAATTTTTTTCATACAATTCTTTGACTTCCTTGGTTAGGGTTACTCCAAGGTACCTTATGTCATTTGTGGCTATTGTGAAGGGTGTTGTTTCCCTAATTTCTTTCTCAGCCGTTTTGTCTTCTGTATACAGGAGGGCTACTGATTTTTTTTTTGAGCTAATTTTGTATCTGGCCACTTTGCTGAAGGTGTTTATCAGCTGTAGAAGTTCCCTGGTAGAGGTTTTGGGGTCACTCACGTATACTATCATATCATCTGCAAATAGTGATAATTTGACTTCTTCCTTTCCAATTTGTATCCCCTTGATCTCCTTCAACTGTCTTATTGCTCTAGCAAGGACTTCCAGAACTATGTTGAAGAGATATGGAGAGAGTTGGCAGCCTTGTCTTGTCCCTAATTTCAGTGGGACTGCTTTAAGTTTCTCTCCATTTAGTTTGATGTTGGCTATAGGCTTGCT